CGGTTGGGGTGGTGGGGGCAGTTTGGGTGGCTTTGGTGCTGAGATGAAAAACCATCTTAGGAAGAGCATGGGTGTTTTGGGCAATGCATACCATTAGTCAACTCCTACTAAAAATAGAGAATAGTCAATCTGGGAACTTTAATTCCGGACGGAGGGAGTAATTATTAATTCCTCTGTTTCTAGTTGATTAGTCTTGCCCAGATTGCCACAAGGTTTGGTTAGATACTTTTGGTCAGTGAGCCTGCGATCGTTGCAAGAAGTTACCTAGGTACATGGTTTTGTCAGTGATGTTCTAAAGCGAATAGAGAATTTAAGCCCAGAAGAAGGCTTTAATATGTGAAATATTGATGAATCTACTTGAAGAGAGATGTACTCTATGGCTAGCTAATATTCTTGTGTTTGGATGGGCTGGGGGAAACACGACTGTGTGGACCTTACAGACGTGTCTCTTCTTATTGGGCTTAGAGAAAATGGGTTTGTTGTTAGCCACACAATTTTGAAGGCGGAATAGGCAAAGTGCGTGGCTAAACACGAGAAACTTTCTTAGGAAATCATGTCTTTATCGCATATGCTTTTGATATGTTTGGTTCCCTTGCCCCAACGATTGTAGAATTTCTTAACAGGGTCCAGTGGGTCTTGCATAGTAATATCTAGAACCCTACGACTCATAAGTTTGTTTTTAGAAATATCGGGTTTGATATTTGAAAGCGCGTTACAGGGCAGCTTATTACCCGTTTGTCCACCACATTTTTGTAATTTGTTGAAAGCGATCAATCTAAAAATTATAAAGTATTGAAAAATTTTAAGGTATATAACATTTTTTTTGTGATGCTGTAAAGACTACCAAAGACATCTAAACCTAATATTTTCAACCTTATCTTTACTTTCACTCGTAAAATAACAATATAAAATTAATCGTAAGTGAATACCGACTTAGGAAAAAAACTAATTTTATAAATGACAATGTATGATCTTAATTTTTGTTTAGTCATACGAAAACATAAATTATTAGAAATTGTATCCTTTGAAACTTTAAGGGTAGTAATCATGTTTGAAATGATACATAATTCATTTTGTGCATGTAAACCTCTGTAGCTCCTCTCTGACTTTGTCATGTGATACTATAATTGTGTTGAAGACAATTTTTACTCCCTCCATCCAAATTTAAATTAATTGGTTTTCATTTTCGTCCGTTCCAAAATAAGTTGTCTCTTCAACGGTGATGACAATTTTTTGTTTGGTTTTTTTGGTGAGTTCAACAATGAAAGTACCAATTGATACGTGATTGTATCAAGATAAAGAAGGATTTCGAACACCTTCAAGCTCCAAGAACAAGAGACATGAGAAAGAGAGGAAAGAGGAGAAAAGATCCTTGGACTAGAGGAGAAGAAGGGAGTTAGGGTTTGAGTGAAATATTTTCTTTATGGCTTGATTAATAATTAATAGAAATGGATACATTTATAGCTAGGACATGTAAAGAATTTTTACCATAGATGGAAACTAAATACTCCCTCCCCGGAAAAAATCTTCCCGTTTGGACTTTTTCTCATTTTTTTGAATGGTTGACTTTGGAAGGGAAATAACTAATATACCCCTCATTTCTTACTTGTTTTACACTTTTACGGCCCAACACCCCCCTCCGCTGATTTCTGCCGAGGCTAGCACCCACTATCCCCCATCATCGTCGCCGATGTTTTCTGCCGAGGCGAGCACCCACCACCCCCATCATCGTCGGCTCTATCATCGCCGCCGCCCCTAACCTGACCATCTCCATCGACCCTGCCACAATTGACCCAGGCCCACCACTGTCACCTTAACCGTCAACACCATCGTCCCTCAACCCTCATCACCATCGCCCATCAACCCTCACCAGTCACCACCGTGCCCCTTCAACCAGATCTAGTGATCTACCGTAGATCTCGGAGAGAGGGAAAAGAATAATTGGAAAAAGAGAGGAAGAAGAAGAAAAGGAATAAGAAGAAGATTTGAGAAGAAGAAGGAAGGAAGGAAGAATAACAGATCTGGAGACGGGGGAAGAAGAATAAGGGGAAAAGAAAAAGAAAAAGTGAAGAGGAAAGAGAGGTGGAACGGATGAAGAAATAGAGAAGAGGAAGGAGAGAAGGAGAGAAGGAGAAAAAGATAAGAATTGAGTGGCGAGGAAGGGGAGAGAAAGGGGAGAGGGGGAGAGAGTGAAAATGGTAAGTGAGGGTATTTTGGGTAGTTAGTGTATCAAAAATTGAAATGGGAAAATTTTTTCCAGACGGAGAAAAAGGAGAAACTGAAAGATTATTTCCGGACAGAGAGTATACTTAGTACACAACAAAAGAATGGGAGAAACACAAAGAAAGAAAAAAAGTATTTTCCCGTCCAAGTTACATGCCATATTCACCGTTGATTAGCCATCATCATTATTATTCCACGACATTTAGGAAACTTTGAAATCCTGATGCATTTATTTACTCAGTTGTTTGTGTATAATCAAGCCCAGCCATTTAGCCTAACTCTTTACGAATTACAAAGAGTTCATTGACGTGGCCGACTTTTCATCTCTGCGGCGATTGGGATTCCAAATGCATTAATTTGGGATTTCAAATGTATAATTCACGCATCTCTTCCTTTTCCCTCCATTGGCCATTCCTGCTACCCCTGCAATTTTCCGGCGAAGTATTATTATGTACCCCGGTGCCGAATCCACTACGCCGGATGTGCCCCCCAAATTTTCTGTAGTCCGGCTGAGATGAAGAAGACGATAGATTTGTCCGGCTGGGCAACTTAATGCGTATTCCTCCCGAAATCAAAATCGATCAAAACCCCTAAATTAGTCTAACATTTACCATCGGCTTCTAGACTTCTTCTTCACAATCTTCAGTCTTCATTCTTCAATTGGACTGGTTGTCGTCGCCCGCCGGACTTCTTCTTCTTCCCATGTATATAAGTATATACGGAGTAATATTCAATTTTTTACTACTTTCGTACTTTTACTTTTTGTTATAACTTCTGATTATTTGTTAAAGTAATTTCAATTTAGTGTTTTGTTAAATTACTTGGAGAAAGTAATTTCAATTTAGTGTTTTGTTTGTTATTAGTTTAATTTATTACTCCCACGTTCCATTTTATAACGCCTGTTTCGGTTTATGATGTTTGACTGAAATTATTTTCAAATCATTTTATATGACATTAGGTATAGAGTTAAAAAATAAAAATTACATATTAAAATACTACATCAAAAGATCTACATAACTAGTAGTGACAATAGTACTTTATTTTATCAAATTGCTAACAAAAATTGAGAAAGAAAGTGAATGAAGTTTGACCCTATAAATAGTGAACATACATTATAATTTGAGACGGAGGGAGTAGGTTTTAG